TACTTCATTAGTTTCATGAGTTATACAGAAGCTTGTAGACAACTGCTATACAATGATGAGCCCCGAGAGACCTGTCAGGACCCCAGACTCAGCCATACGCACTAAAGAATTAAGAGGTTACAAAACTTGACAAGTGTGTTATCTTGCCAAAAAAGGTGCTGGAGCAGGCCTATCCCTCAGAACTTGAAAGGCTTCAAAACAAAGAGACGCTCCAGCAGAGAAACCAGAATAACTACAGCCCTCCATAAACAAACAGTAATAACCAAGGGTTCTACACAGGAACCACTAATCAACATAATCCCACCAGCCTGGCACACAGATGAGACACAGCACTGGTAAACAATTGAAGGAGCTTCCTCTGCATCCCTAAAGGCCATAGGAATGAAAAAAAATCATCCTTATTTGTGAGAGTCATCCTCCAATATTCACCCAAGAAGAGCAACTATTCAAGACCAAATACGGTGCCAAAAATTCAGAAGATGGTGTTGCTCTCTCTGACTTCACACCAAATAAATCCAGGTCCTCTTTTAGATGCGAGGCTACTCAGAGGTCCTACTCATTTAACAAATATTACAAAACTCATAGCAGTTGAATGAAAGACCACCATACTCCTTTCCTTGCCAAAATACCACACCACATTCTGTTTTCATAATTTCCCCTTGGGGTTTCAGTGGGTTTTAGTGTACAACTCTTCCCAAATTCTCTAGTGCTACTGTACATTATTACGCAGATGCTAGGAGCCAAACTAGAGAAAAGGCTACATTTTAAAGGATGAGCAAAGCAATTTCCTTTCTACTGATCTCATAATGATATTGAAGATTTTATAATATTTTATTGTATTTCTATGAAGGTAAAGCTCTTTCAGATCCTGGCTGGAAGCTGCCAGCGTACCAAGCATTATTTATAAACTACAGCATCTGTTTCTTTTAAGGCACATACAATACACTAATGTTTTTAGGCCTTGCACTCCTGATTTGACAAGTCTAGGCAATCCTTCGGTGGACTATGTCATTTTAAGACAAGCGACCACACTTCTACCCCTGCAAGGACAGGAAAACAAATCACACAAGGAGGCAGTGGTGTCATTACTACTTAATTATATTTTGCCATCTGCTACCATGGCAGAACTATACAGGTATTTTACTATAATACCCAAGTTTGTTACTTCAAAAACTAAAAACCAGAACTAACAGAGGATTTGCTAGACGGTATCACAAATACAGGCAGAAAAGTGTGCCTATGAAATTATCCTTAAGACTTCAAAGCCTGTTATTTAAGAACTGTTAATTCCAAGGGCATACTGAATGCAGTCTGGCTTCTCAGCTGATGCCTTCCAAAGCTGTCAGTTTCCTGAGGTTTGAGCCAAAAGGCAATATTTGATATGTAAAGATGTTTGAGAAGGAGGGTGAAGGGAGAAGTGAGAAAGATTTGTATGAGTCAGATCAGACATGGTTCTTTTAAAAATTAAGCAAAAGCATTTAAAAATGCACGAGAAAGACACACACACTTCCCTGTTCTTGGATTATCATTTCTGATGATAATGTGTTAGAAGTTTAAATGAACTTTTGATTACAATTATTCACAAAACAAAGGTCAACCTTCAAGGAAGTATCTTTAACGTATGGTGTTATAGCCTATTGTTCTCTGGGGCTTTTTGTTTTTAGGATACATTTTACTTTTTAGCATTCATGAAGGCATGCGCTGTATTGTGACAACCTTTGCAGCTGAGGTCCTCTGATAGCTGCAGCCTACGCTGCACATTTTTTTTTATTTTTTGCTGACTGGACTATTACTTGACCTCTTATTCCTTATTATGCTATGCCATTCACTGGTATAACAGAATCACATTTCCTTACTTCTAATCCATGCTTTCTGTAAGCATCACATGCAGCCAGTAACATGGGCAATGTATGACACTAGGTGGACCATTGTTCTGTTCCCATACAGTAACTCTACAGGAATCCTTAACTGCTAGCTCTTCCATACAGAGACCTGGAGACCACTTAGGACAGTAAAAATAAATAGATAAATAAATAAATACATTGAGGATGCCTTTTCAAAAGACTATGAGCTTTCAGAAGCAACATTTTCTAGTTCAACCTCAAAAACAAATTAAAGGTTCACCAGAAGCATCTTGAAAGATCCAAGAAGTACTGTAGTATGAAATAAAACCTATTATGCATCTGCAACATGCAAGAGAAGGAAGGAGGTTTGGGATGTGGGAGGAAAAGGTGAAAAAAAAAGATCAGCTAGAGAAAGAGGTGCGGGGGAGGTGCAAGTCTGCGCACAGACTACCTTTGCAAAAGAGTCATCACAAGAGGCCGAGAACCAGAAAGGCGAGAAGGATGAGAACCAGGAACGATTTCTGAAAGCTGTGGTTGAAATCGGTTGTGCGGGATCCTGCCTGGGGCTGAAGTGCACATGCAAAAGACTTGTGTGGGTGCACATTTATGCTTGTCAGGGGAAAGAGGCTGCCCAAAATGCTCTGCTGTGACGCTGCAAAACTTCAAAAGGTCAGAGGGACGGTGTCAGTCACGTCCTATTCGCCAGTCAGACCAACCCAGTGCGGCCACCACACGCAAGGACGCATCTACCCACTCACTCTGCGCCACCTTAAGGTGCTAAGTGACATCCCACGCAGGGGGAAAAGAGAAAAATGACTAACCCTTCATTCTTAAAGGGCAAATGACTGCCATCAGAGGGAAGCAGAGCCTCCTACCTAAAGAGGTAGGATGCTCTCCTTCAGGCCGGGGAGCTGCATGATGCCACCCCCTCCAAGGGAGGGCAGAGGAAGGGGATGCGAGCTCAGAGCTTGCTCCACCTGCTCACCTGGGCAGAGAGGCCAGTGCCAGAGCTGCATTCCCCGCCCCCCCACCTTCCCTTCCCCGGCACACGCGGCCCGCCTCACGTTTGACGTCACGCGGGGGAGGTGGAACTAGAACCTTGAGACGACGAAGATTCCACAGAGCCCAGGCCCTTCCCTTTGTGACGTCACAAGCACAACAAGCCCCTGGCCCCGGCTGGGCTGAGTGGCCGGGAACCCGGGGGCTCGCGCTGACACGCCGCTTAACCTGTTGCTGCTGCTGCAGAGGACGCCGGGGAAGCGCGCCGGGCCGGCCCACGCCGCCGCCTGCACCAGCATCAGCCGCCGCCGCAGC